TCCATTTGACACTCCTCCACCTCTCATCCCAGTCTTATCATATGGGTACATCTCCTTTGTACCTCAATTCTGAATGCTAGACATGTTCAGGAGAGCAATGGGTATGGCTCCTATGGCCTCCACCACCAACTAAGTTCAGCATTGAAGGCAAGGATTGTTCTACAGAAAATAGATTAAAATCTCCCCTGCCGGAGTTGAGTGTCCATGTTTGGGAAAGGGGGTCAAAGATTCTAAAAGTACAGAACTGCCATAGGCCTTAGATTGAAGTCTGTGCATATTTGGTTCTTATTCTGAAATTCTCTGATTCCTCTTCATTCTCCAGGTCTTTGCTCTCTGCTGGCTATTACTGTGAGGGAGGAGCTGCTTGGTTCTTCTCCCAGAGAACTACAGCTTTCCCTCTCAATGGACCCAGACTCCAAGGGGTACTACTGCCCAGAGAGGGCTTTTAATCACCTTCCCTGCTGTACAGGGACTCTAAGAAACATGACTGTTAACTACCCCCAGCTATGCCCTTATCCCTTTCCAATGATGCTGAGAACCTTTTATACACACATACATACACACATACAACACACATTCATTTTTCTGTTTGTTTATTTCCTCATATTTCTCTTTAGCAAAGACACTGGAGTGGTTTGCCATTTTCTCCTCCAGCTCATTTCACAGATAATGAAATGGAGGCAAATGGGGTTAAGTGACTTGCCCAGGGTCATCCAGGTATGTGTATGCTTCTTTACCCAAGACAGCATGTCATAATGGATAGAGTGCTGGACTTGGAATCAGGAACTCAAGAAGATCTGAGTTCATCTCTTGGTTCTGATCCTAGCTAGGTGAGCCTGGGCAAGTCAATTAGCCTCTGTGGGATTCAGATTCCTCAACCATAAAATGAGGAGATTGCATTAGAGGGTCTCAAAGGCCTCATTTATTGCTGTATGACTGTGCTCCCTCCTTCCTTGCTATCTCAGCACAGTCCTCCAATTAGATGCTCAGGGTTAATGGCTAACTTAGGTTCACTGATGCGCCAAAGGCAGCTCCAGTCAAGATGCCCCCTTGGCACTGAGATGCTTTCCTTTCCCCAGGTGGCTCCTTTGGAGGCTGTTGCCCAGCCAGGTTCCTCTGCAGCACCCTAGGCTCTGTTCCCTAATGGGATTCTGTGCAGCTAGATTCTATTGCCCCTCTGACTTCAGTCCCACAGAGATCCAGGGCCCTCAGGTACCACCACCCACTTCCCCACCCACAGGAATGAAAGAGAAAATTCTGCCTCCAAGGGCCATATTTGGCAGCCCAGCAGGTTACAACAACCCAACTTGTAGCAAACAAAAAAAGCTTGAGCCCTCCACTGAGAAACATTAAGATTAAAATTCAGTAACAATGGTAATACCTAGCATTTATATGACACTTTAAGGCTTACAAAGGACTTTACAGATGTTCTCTCTTTTGATAACATGTTATTTCAAAACAACTCTGAGAGGTAGGGGCTATTATCCCAAGTTTATATATAAGGAAACTGAGGCTGAGAGAGGTTAATGCAGGGTTTGAACTCAGGCTTTCCTGACTCCAAGTTCAACACTCTTTTCCTAATACCACCTAGCTGCCTCAAGCTATTTGTCATAATTGTATGACTTTGCTTGAACATCGTTGACAGTGTACTTGTTCTAAATCATAACTTCCTTGACCCAGTCAATACCCAATTGCTCCCCCTTCCCAGAGGTCCCAAGTTCTGCTTATGGTTCCTCTACTCTGTTCATTTATTATTACCATGCTCTCATTGTAAGCCCATTATATAAAGTTGGCTTAGCCCAACCCAAAAAAGTGACTGTGAGCACTTCCACATATACCTAACCTTACTACTCACCTTCCACCTCTTTATAACAAGGCCTCAAGGGTTGCACGGCTTGTGTTTGGTCTCCTGGGGCATTTCTGCCAGTCAGGAGCAGCTCATCCTGCTCTATGCCTCCCAGGGCAATACCAGCCAAACCAGGGCTCAACCTTCCTTGCCCTCCAGGGTTCTACTGCCCAGAATACGGCACCAAAGAGCCCAGGTTGTGTTGGGCCTATCGTCCTGCTGGTATGTACAGTAGTCTTTTTAAACTCTCTCGTCTCATTCTTTCACCAACTCCTTATTGCCTCTATGATCAATCAATCAATCAATCAGTCAATCAATCAATAGCATTTATTAAGTATCTTCTGTGTACAGGCACTGTGCTAAGCACTGGGAATATAAAGAAAAACAATAGACAGTCGCTCCCCTCTAGGAGCTCACAATCTAATGGAGACAATGTGTCAACAGCTATGTACCAACAAGCTATGTCTCCCTGTTACCCTTAATTCTCCTTCCTGACCTTCCTTTGCTACTGTTCTGTAGCCCTTCACCCTCCATACTCCTACTCCATCGCTTGTTGTTCCAATTAACCCATCCCTTCACAAGTCACTTTTGTGAACTTCTGCTGTTCCATTCCTTCCTTCCCTCACCCTTTTCCAACCTCACTTAATAAACAAAAGGAACCTGCAGGGCTAGAGTGGTCCTTTGACGGTTACGTGAGACCAGACAACATGGTATGGCGGAAAGTAGCCCTGAATTTGAAGCCAGAATATCTAGGTTCGATAGTAGCTCTGCAACTAGCTAGCTGTATGACTCTAGACAAATTACTTCTCTCTGTGACTCAGTTTCCTCTTCTATAAAATGAGGTGATTGGACTCTTTTAATCACCTCTAAGGTACCAGTTGTTGCTGTTCATTTGGGTCTGATTCTTTGTGACCCCATTTGGGGTTTTCTTGGCAAAGACACTGGAGTGGTTGGCCACTTCCTTCTCTGGCTCATTTTATAGGTAAGGAACTGAGGCAAACAGGTCCAGGGTCACATAGCTAGTGAGTGTTAGAGGATGGATTTGAACTCACAAAGATGAGTCTTCCTGACTCCAGACCTGGCACTCTATCTACTGTGCCACCTAGCTGCCCCTGTTAGCTGCAAATTCAAGCTGTCTTGGATAACAATGTGAATGCTAAAGTTCTTTCCCTGGTAATAAATTTTGTCCCCTGTTGGTGAGTTAGTTAATATATGTATTAAATGTTTCCAATTTGAATTCATAAGCAATGTACTAATTTGCCTTTTTCTATGAATGGATGTCTCTAGTAAAAGACGGATGCATCTTTTTTAGGGGAAGCATGATCCTCTCAGATTCCTCAAGCTCATTCTCTTGGGGTCACTTATCCCTTCTTGCCTTTCTTGGTACTGGACATGTCTTTCTTCCCTGTCTCTCTTCTAATTTTTAAATAAGAAGTCAGAAAATCAAGTATCTCACAAATATTAAGCACTCAACAAATGTTGAATTGAATCTTTTTTTTTTTTAACTTTTTTTGGTGAGGCAGTTAGGGTTAAGTGACTTGCCCAGGGTGACACAGCTAGTGTCTGAGGCTGGATTTGAACTCGAGTCTTCCTGACTCCAGGCCTGGGGCTCTATCCACTGCACCACCTAGCTGCCCAGTTGAGATTAGACAACATAAATTTGTAGTGGACATGGTTAAATGTGGTTTTGTGGCATCCTCTTTTGGTATTCAGCTCCACTTTTTACATACAAGACCCCATGTGGAAATTAAAGTTGTACAAGCCATGTGTAATCTCTATTATAATGTTATAATAACATATAGCATAACCTATATTTTAACTGTGCTATAAACTCCTGGTTTATAATTTAGCAGACCAAAGTTAAACAAAATGCAAAGATAGCTATAAGACTTGTGTTTACAGTATTTTTAGTCATCGTCTCATATGTAGGAGTCCTACACAAAACAAGCCCACTAGCTTAGCTATGGGGCTAATGCTTTAGATTAAAATATGTCAGGAATTAGCATATACAGTCTATTAAACATGTGAGTAAAATAAATGGAAGAAGAAAAGTCTTATCCTCTAAGTAGATATGGGCTGTGAGGTTGCAATATACCATGCCATTATACGGTAAATTTCCTGACCCTTATTCCCTGAGGAATCAATCCAAGAAGCCTAAAAATGCTCTAAATGACAGTTATGGGATAAAGGATGGGATAAGTAACAGGAAAGCTGCTTAAAGGAAAAATTTAAATCAGAGGTTCTTTTTAGGTTATGCCATATTTGGATTAGGCTCATTATTCAGTGACTTGAAATCCTAGGAGGGATTCTGGGAAATACTTTCTCTAGTCTATTTTTGATCCCTATAATGAGGTACCAGAAACTCCAATCTTAGGAAAGTTTCCAGTCTAATTTGGAAGCAGTTGGACTTTTGTGATTGAACTCTAACCTAATCATGTCCTGCTTTGAGTTTTTCCATTTCAGCTAAAAAAATTGTCAGCCTTTCCATTTTCTCTGACTCTGTAACCCGACTCCCACCATATACTTTTTAAAGAAAATGTGGAAAAGTTTTTAAACAGAGGAGGGAGGAGTAATTAAATGATGAATCACTCAAACACATACTTGGTATCTTTTTCCTTCCACTACCCCTATGGCATGAGGAAATCTAAATTTTCTCTAGCAGAGGTTCTTAACCTCCATGTAAGGATCCACTTTAGCAGTCTAGAGAAGCCTTCTAAGAAGAATGTTTTTTAAATGCATAGGACTATGAGAGAAATCAATTATATCGAGATAGTTATAAAAATATTTTAAAAAAGTTTATAGACCCCAGATAAGAACCTTTCATTTATAGTCTTCTACATGGAGTCCATGAAAATCATGGTTATCAGAGCACAAAATGAACACAGGGTACAGAGGAAAAATAAGGGCTTGAAAGGATGACAAAAAAGGGGAGATTTTTTACAACCTTAGGGCATTGACGGCAGAGACAGAAGAGCCAAAAAAGTCAATATGTATCTTTTAGCTTTTGTTCCATACTCTGAAACTTTCTAATTCTTATAGGAGTTTTTCTTTAATTACAGTAATAACAACAATAGGTAGCTTTTAGATAGTGTTTTAAGGTTTGCAAAATGCTGTGCATTTAATCTCATTTGATTTTCATAACAGTCCTGTGAAATAGGGGCTATCATCCCTATTTTACAAATGAGTAAACTGAGGCTAAGACATGTTAAGACACTTGCCCAGGGTCACAGTAAAGTGTCAGGTAAGATGCTGTTAAGCATCAATTTCCAGTTTTCCTGGCTCCAGGCTCAGTGTTCTATCTACTGTACCATCCTGCTCCCTTAAGTTTTCAACTACCTTCCTAGTTGAAATAGAGCACCTTCTCAGGGAGTCTAAGAACAACACCATCACAACCTTATTTTATAAAATACCCTTTACTTTATAATGTGGCCTCTAAGGCCAGTCTACTAGGATTTGTTCCATGCACGATCATGCCCGGGTTGAATTCATAAAACTCAATAGTCTCATACATAGTGCAAGTGCAATAGAATTAAATATTGTGGAAACTTATGTACATATTCAATGGCTTATTTTTCTTCTCTACCTCTTTTAGAATTTATACATTTTAAACAAACAAGAGGGACAGAGGGCAAGGTGCAGAAGAAAAACAGCCTATACAAAAAGTCAAATTTCATTTTTACAGTATGTTAACTGAGACTCATACAAATTTCTTCCAGCGTTTAGATCTTGACGATGCCCATATTGCACAGGAGACTTGCCAGCAGAGGTGACTGGAGAACGCTGAACATCATCAGGGAGAAATTAAGGAGAGTCTTGGGAACCAAAAGCAATTTCAGTAATACATGTTCTTATCCCACCAGCCTGTAAGGGGACAAAGAGAGTCAATAAGAAATATGGAACCTGTGGGAGATAGAAAAAGGTAAATGTCCAATAAATCCCAGCAGGGTCGCCCAAATCTGGACCCAAATTCTTCTCCTTTGAGGTTACTTACTTCCTGGGTAGCGCCTGATTAGGAGTTTTCGTAACTCATCATATAGCCAGATGACAATGGCATATGGTACCGCCACAAACCAATACTGAACCCTGGAAATGAAATGGAGCCAAATGCAAGAGTCAGTGTTTCAGAAGACAAGAACCAGCTTCTCAGGTAAATGGTGGTGGGGTTGTTAACTTCACTGCCTTCTTGGCAACTTCAACAATTTCAGGTGGATACAAAGGAAGGAAGGCTTTTTCTAAACTGACCCAAAACAGTTCTTTTCTTTTAAAGTATAATAGAATGCAAGGGATACTAAAACACAAGGACACAAAGTGTGTTTTTTTCCTTCAAATCTTTCCAAAGGGAATGTGACTTTGAATTTTATCTCATTTCCTTCAATGGTTTGACTAGACTTAACCAACTTTTTTCCCAAGAGGGGATATTTGGTCTCTAATCCTTACTACCTCATATCTGATCCAGCCATCTTCATCCTAGCCCAGCCTCATCCCCTAACTTGAGACTGTCCTCAGAATGGTGACCAGTGCTTTCCCTTGACACAGTAGGGCAGGTGACTCACCGAAGTGTGGTGAAATTCAGGGCTGCAATACTTCCAAAGCCGAAGGAGAGGATTAGTGCTATGATAATTTGAGATACAATCCCTACCCAGACGACTTTATTTCTGTAAGAAATACAAGCATGAACAGATTTTGAATCCATTTAGTTATTCCTCCCCTCCTACCTTCCCTATTAATGTAGAGGGTACCACCATCCTCCCAGTCCCTCAGGTTCCCCATTTAGGAATCATCCTGGTCTCCTCACCATCTTCCACCCTCCATATCCAATCAACTGCCAAGGCTTGTTGATTTCACCTGTGTGACATCTCATGTATATACTTCCTTCTCTCCTCTGACACTGGTGCAGTCTCTCATCCACCTTATGCCTTGCCTATGGTAATAGCCCATTAATGGGTCTCCCTGCCACAAGACTCTCATGCCTTCAGTCCATCCTCCCCTCAGCTTCCAAAGTTCAGGTCTGAACGTGTCACTCTCCTTATTCCCCACTCAATAAACTCCAGTGGTTCCCTATCACATCCAGGACCAAATATAAAATCCTATGTGGCTTTCAAAACCCTTTATAATCTGCTCCCTATCTCTTCTGTCTTCTTATATCTTTATACTACCATCCACCCCATCATTTCTGTGATCCAGTGATTTTGGCTTCTTATTATTCCTCACACAAGACACTCCATCTCCCAAATTCTGGGTATTTTCACTGTCCTCCTTTCCTGTAATGTCTTCCCTCCTCATCTTTGCCTTCTGGCTTCCCCCGGTTTCTTCACATTCAGCTAAAATTCTACTTCCTACAGGAAGACTTTCCCAATCTCTCTTAATTATAGTGCCTTCCCTTTGTTGATAATCTCTAATTTATCCTGCATATATTTTGTTTGCATATAGTTATTCGAATACTGTTACCTCCCCACTTAGATTGTGAATGTCCTTTTGCCTCTCTTTGTGTCTCAGTATTTAGCACAATGCCATGACGGTGCATGGTAGGGTGCTTAAAATTTATTGAATGACAGATGTCCATCAGGTTAATATGATCCAGAGTAATATCAGAAGATCTTTTACCATAGTAGGTATCATAATATTAGTTCCTTGGATGGGCCAATAGAACTTCACTTTCTTTACAACATAAGCCTTTGAAATATAGTATAGTTGATACCTGAAGAGACCTTGCTGGAAAATAGAATTTCTCCGAGTCTTTCTGATGATTAAATCTGCTATTTGCTGGACCATGATTGCAACAAAGAAAGCAGTATATCCAATCCATTCCAAATATTTCCGCTGATATCTTGTCTGCAAGATCAGGAAAGGAGAAAGCTTTGAGACCCAGCAGAGAAAGCTTTTGGGAATGTTAATGGAAGCTTCATAAGGACTCATTCCTAGGTGTGCAACCAACTGGTCACTCAGTTATCCAGAAAGGGTAGCAGTTGAGATGATGTTATTTCTTTTACTTATCCTGACATATGGTACCTTGCAGCCGAATTGTTACAAAGCTGATGTGTTAGCTTTGTTGTCGTTCAGTTTTGTCCAACTCTTTGTGATCCCGTGGACGATATCATGCCAATACTGTCCATGTGGTTTTCTTGGCAGAGCGAGAAGTGGTTTGCCAGTTCCTTCTCCAGCAGATTAAGGCAAACAGATGTTAAACGATTTGTCCAGGGTCACACAGCCAATGAGTGTCTGCGGCTGGATTGGATTCAGGTCTTCCTGATTCCAAGCATAGTACTCTAACCACTGAACCAGCTAGCTGCTTCTAGCAAATTATCATCAAAGGCCAGGATAAAGTCTTGACAAAGGTCAGAGTTATTCAAATATTTTGTATCTCTCTGTTATTTCCATTCTGGAAAATCAGTTACGGTTCCAGTGGACACAATTCTCATTTTCTGCTTTCTGACCACTTTAAACTACAGATAACACTAACAATCTAGCCTGAGACAAATGACATTTCTTTCTTATGATGAAATGCGTTACCCAAGGGAGAGTCTTCAATCAGAAACCAAGTTTTCTTCCATGAGAATCTTATCTCATTGCTGTTTTTAAAAAAATTTTAAACTACCAAATTTTGTTTTTAACGAAAGATACACATTTACACATGCACAAGCATTCATTTTAAAGTAACACTTATTTAGCATTTAAAATTTTATCTTATTTGGTTCTGTGAATTTGGGACCATTACTATTCCCATTTTACAGATGAGGAAACTAAGGTTCACAAAAGTTAAGTGATTTGCCCATGGTAACCCAGCAAGCAAGTATCTCAGGTGGATTTGATTTTAGATCTTCCTGCCTTCAAGCCCACAGCTCTAGCCACTGTGCCGTCTGAAACTCCAAAAACAGCTAATGAAGTAGTAACTAATATTTTCCACTATATTTAACCTGAGATCTGATGTTGTTTAATGTAGTTTATAGTTGAAAGTAGTATGTATATTTTCATTCTATTTTCTCCACTTTTGTTATTTTTTTATATTTTGTTTGAAAAATATTTTATTCATAATTTTTTCTCCATCAGTCACTTCCTAGTAACTGCTTCACTGCATTTGTAATAAAGAGAAATAGTTAAAAGGAGAAAAGCAGTATATTGACCACATGGCATTCCCCACCTATTGTTCACCATCTCTCAATCAAGAAGAAACATTGCATGACCTCGAGGTTTCAACCTTTTCATTGCCAGAGCTTACTGCCATGCGAGTAACCTTTTCTCCTTTTCTCCTCCCTGTCAGCTCTCTTCTAGTTCTAGAACGGTGATAGGATCAGCTGGGTTGTTCTTGGGTATGTGTGACAGCTTACTCCCTTACAGTCTCCTGTCTGGGAAAGGGAAAGCACCAAAGTGCCTTCTCCTAGGCTTTGTTGTCCAGTCGTTCTTCAGTTGCTCCTGACTCTTTGTGACCCCATTTGGGGTTTTCTTGGCAAAGTTACCAGAATGGTTTGCCATTTCTTTCTCCAGTTCATTTTACAGATGATAAAACTGAGGCAAACAGGGTTAAGTGATTTGCCCAGGGTCACACAGATAGTAAGTATCTGAGGTTGGATTGGAACTCAGGAACTCAGGAACCTGACTTCAGGTCCAGGACTCTAACCGCTGTGCCACCAAGCTACCCTCCTGGGCTATGAGCCACCAAATCTTTCTTGTGTTTTCTCTCGCCATTAGAATGCATGATCTCTGAGGGCAAGAGCTGACTTTAGTATGTCCATAATAAATGTTTTCATTCATTGAATTTGTATTTTATGTACTTAGTAGTGTCTGGTGCATAGTAATTAGTAAATGCCTGTTGACTTTTTCATTCACTCATTGATTCTAATAAGGTAGTCTTACTAGGGCAGTCCAGAAGATGGCGTTTCAGGATCAATCAGGTCAAATGAACAATAGAATGGGGAATAAATAGGGTTAGAACTTTGACCTCTCTTACCCATTCTTGTCCATAGCTGTCTTCAAGGTCATTTATATTATCATCTTCCCATTCTGACCGTAAGAAAATGAGCCTGGCAGGTTTGAATCCTTGCTCTGCATAGACAGTGAAATAGGCAAGAAAGGCTCCCAAAGATTGCAGGATTCCTATGGGACATATGAGACATGCTAAGAATTTAGGAACTCTGATGAGTTCAAGGCATTCTCTTTCCAATTGTCCCCACCCACTAAAAAAAAAAAAGTCATTCTCTGAACTCATTAGGGGATAGGGACCTAGGAAAGAATTTTGATATTAAAATAACACATGAGAGAGATCTCAGCATACCTATATGTAGATAAGAATACAAAGCCAGCTGTTGATTCACCAATCTGTCCTTCTTCTTGTGGCGTGGTTTCCGGTTCATGATGTCACTCTCGGCTTTCTCATAGGCTAAGGCAATGGAAGGAATCTATGGAAGGGTAAGAAGATAATAAAACACTGTCACTACTGAGCTGTAGCTACAACACAGCCAGTTAATATTTAGAGAGAAAATAAAATAGAGAGAATAAATGAATCCCAAGACTCTGGAAGAAGCTTGGCCAGAAGCCTTTCAAGCCTCCAAGCAACAAATCATTTGCTATTAGTTTCAAAACAAACAGATCTCTAACCACACCACAATGTATGAGCAACCCAGTATATTACTGCCTGTAGAGAAGAAAGGAAGGAAGGTTGGCAAGGGCCATTTCCCTTGCTTTGTTTCCAGTTTGCTCTCTATCATCTACTTAATCGTTATTCGTGTATTCCCAAGTCATATGAATATGGCTCAACAATGCTGCTTATTCTTCCACTATTCTATAATTATTGTCTGTTATGGATTTAGAGAACCTCAGCCTAAAAATGTCTATTTGGTGTGTCATAGTGTGACTCATTAGTGTCCTTATCGATAAAATGAAGACATTGAACTAGATGACCTCTAATCTAGATCCATGAGCCTATGAATTAACTTGGCTGCACCTAGATGCAAAGATGACTAAGGGAGGTACAGGGACCTATTTTTTTTTTGTTAGCATTTTATCATTAGAATAAAGGATTATTGAAAAGGTGAATAATGCCATCTTTCCCCCTTTCAGTCCATTTATCACTTCATTCATTAGTTTCCATTATACATACCTTTAATAAGTCTATACTTCTCTTTGAAGTAGGGAATACTTAGTTGAACCTTCCTATGTAAAAGCAGTATTTTCATCTTAAGAGTTTTAAAACATATTTGAAAATATTCTATCTTTTACTGAATTAAGAGAGCCTTGGATTTGTTAGGGAGCTGTATCCTATTATATTTCTTGGGCCTCTTAAACATTTCTGGGCTTTTAAGCTTTGGACAGACTTTTTTTGGTAGTAGTTTTACTCATGGTCCTTGATCATTATCCCCAATTCAGGAATAAGGAACTTGAGATAATGGGCCATACATAGTTTTTGAGGGTCAGGCAAATGGGATGGTTTGGAAAGCTCCATTCAAGAGAGAATTGATTTTATTACCAATTTCTTGACAAGTTATTTAAGTCTCTTCAGGGGAAAGGAAACTCAGAAGGTAAAGTGGTCCCAACAGTTTATGACACCTGGTACTGTATTTTATTCCCTAGTACCCCAGGATAGAGTAATAAGATCAATCTCTTGACAAGTCATCTAAGTCTCTGCAGAAGAAAGGAAATCCAGAAGGGAAAAATGGTCCCAAAAGTTTATGGCAATTGATGCTACTATATTTATTTTATTCCTTGATACTCCACAAATTTACTTACAATATCAGTGCCCAAGTCAATGAACAAGATGGTGATAGTACCGATGGGCAGGGGGACCCCGGCAATAATGAAGATCAGAAAAGGACAAAGCTCAGCAATGTTTTTGGTCAGGGTGAAAGCAATGGTTTTCTTCAAATTATCAAAGATTAGGCGGCCTGTGAGGAGAATGTTCTCTTTAGAAAAAACTGCTCTTGGTCCACAAGATTAAATGAACACTCTGTAAAGGCATTTGTAAGATGTCCCTTGTATGGAAGGGACTTTACTCACCTTCCTCTACACCTGTCACTATAGAGGCAAAGTTGTCATCTAGTAAGACCATATCTGCTGCATTTTTTGCTGCATCAGAACCTGCAATTCCCATGGCAATGCCAATATCAGCCTTCTTCAGGGCTGGGGAATCATTAACTCCATCCCCTGTCACTGCAACAACAGCATCCTAGAAGAATAACGTGGGATTCAAACTTTAAATCCAGTAACTTCAAAGAGTACCCAAGCGATTTGAGTACTGATAAAAAAAATGTTCTCTATCTTCTCTCAAAGATAGGATGACCTTATGTTCTGCAAGAGTCTTTTCTGGGAAAAGGGTCATGTTTCCGTGTGATGTGAAATAAGCATTCACCAAGCTTCTTCTAAACTAATGCAGATAACAATGTGATAGAGGACAGGGATGGGCATCTCCAGCTCTAGTGAGAAAATACTGAGCACAGGTTCTTATTTTTCCCTTGGTTGTCTCTGCATCTGAGTCCAGCCAAATGAATTCACTCGAAAGAGAATTCATAAATTAGAGAATAACCATTAGATGGGCCACCACCTTCTTTAAACAGTAAGAGAAGAAAACTTGTTCCAAGTCAAGGAGATGGTATATAAATGTAATGGCATATAATGTAATGGAATGGCAATAATGAAAGAGACCATTTCAGAAAAACATGGAAAAACTTGCATGAGCTGTTACAGAGTGAAGAGAGCAAAACCAAAATAATTTATATAATAACAACACCGCAAAGACAAAAGGCTTTGAAATGTTCAATCAACACAATGATCCACCACTATTCCAGCAGACCGATGACGAAGCATGCTCCCCAACTGACAGGTGGAGTCAAGGAGACAGAATGAGACTTTTTTTTGGACATGACCAATGAGAGAATTTGCTTTGTTTAAACATGCATGTTTATTACAAAAATTTTAGTTTTCAGTTTTTGACTCTTTTTTTTTCACCAATGTGGGAGCAAGAGAAGTAGTTTTTTTTGTGAATTGAAAAATTAAATATAATGTTAAAAGTTAAGGACAGGAGGATATACTTGATGTTAAAATGGAATATAGGGAACTTTTTTTTTTCCTGAAGCCAAATATATGTATGCTCCAGGAACTAGGTAGCACAGTGGCTAGAGTGTTGGGCCTGGGGTCAGGAAGACCTCAGTTTAAGTTTTGCCTCAAATTATTACTAGGTGTGTGACCTGGGCAAGTCACTTAACGTATGTTTGCCTCAATTTCCTCAACTATAAAAATGGAGGTAAAAATTAGAGAAAAACCCTAATTCATGGGGTTGTTGTGGGGATCAAATGAAATAATATTTATCAAGCTCTTAGCACAATGCTAAGCTAGCACATAGAAAGCACTACATAAATGTTAATTATAATTATTGTTCTTTTTTTCTTTGTATTTCCAATGCTTGGCACAGGGCCTTGAATATAGTAAATGCCTAATGAATACTTGTGGAATTCAGTAGAATTTCCTTGAAAGAACTAGCCATTTCTTTTCCTGATGCTTGTGAGGGAACTTCAGTTGTATTTTAGGAAAGAGCTTTCTGTTCTAACAAAGCCATACTAAATGGCAGTCTGAAGGTATCTGACTTGGACTCACTAGGTGCCTGTCAGTCAGTCAATAAACCTTTGAGAAGCACCTACTGTGTGTCAGGTACCTCGGTAAGTACCGCCTCCATCATCACTCACCTGTCTCTGACAGCCCTCCACAATGATCAGCTTCTGCTGGGGAGATGTCCTTGCAAAGACGATTTCGGTGTGGTTGATCAACACCTCATCCAGCTGCTCTGGGCTCATCTCCTTCAACTCCATTCCATTGACCACAGCTGCCTTTGCCTCCCTAGAAGGGCCAAAGTAATGCCCACTTAGCAAAAAGGACTAACGCCGAGGGACTGTTCTGCTTTGAGAAGCCCAGTAGGTAACAAGGTGACTAGTCCCTTACTTCTTCACTAATGCATCCAATACTGTTGCAAAATAGAGAAGCCTAGCTCAGTAATAGGCTTTGCCATCTCCGTTCAAGATGGGAAACAGAGACTAGCAGGGGATTCACATTGGAGCCCTTGTAATGAATACTACCTTATAGAGGGGACCTCAAAAAGGCTGGCAGTGAGAATATCTGGCTATTTCCTGTGACTGGAATGCCCTCCCTTACCATCATCTTCTGCCTGTCGAATTCCTACTCATCTTCAAAATCCTAATGCAACATTTTATCTCTTCAATGAAGCCTTCCCTGTTTTTCCTAGCTGGTGGTTTCTTTCTTGAGCCTCCTAGTATATTGCTTATGTATTCATCTGTGTATGTATTATTCTGTATCCAATCCAACAAACGTTTATTAAGTCCCAATTATATGGAAGGTAGTATGTTTGGCACCAAGGATACAAAGGTAAAAGTTATTTCAGGAGGGTGAGAGCACAGGCAGATTCATAGAGGACGTGGTATCAGAGACAAATCTTGAACAAAATTGGGAATTTTTAGAAGTACAGGTGAGAAGTAATTACATTTTAGGTGGGGGAGACTACCTCTGCAAGGAGGTCCTTAACCCTTTTTGTATCACAGACCTCTTTGGCAGTCTAGCAAAGCATAGGAGACAATTAGGTGGTGCAGTAGGTAGAGCACCTGGAGTCAGAACGACCCATCTTCCTGAGTTCAAATCTGGCTTTAGACACTTACTAGCTGTGTGACCCTGAACAAACCACTTATTCCTGTTTGCCTCAGTTTCCTCATCTGTAAAATGAGTTGGAGAAGGAAATAGCAAATCACTCTAGTTTCTTTGCCAAGAAGACCCCAAATGAGGTCATGAAGAGTTGGACATGACCGAAAATGACTGAACAACAACAAAACCCATGGATCCCTTCTGAGAATAATGGTTTTAAATGCATGAAAGAAATAGATCACAAAGAAAACCAGTTGTATTGAGATGTAGCTAGTAATTTTTTTTCCAAAAAATTCATGAACCCCATGTTAAGAACACCTTTTAATTCTAATATAGACCTAATATTAGATGAAAATAACATTTTTGGTGGTTTTCCTGAACTTTTTAAAGGAAAAGCAATTGTGTGTTTGTATATATATGTATAAACAACCTCTCAGTGGCAGCCTAACAGGCTATAGACCCAAAAGCGGTGAGCCCCAAAACATTTCAGCTCTTTGGAATCAAAGGGGGCTGGCTCACCTGCAAAGTCATATTACCACTGCTCTTACCTTTTGTTAACCTGTTCCACGGGAACATTAAGACGTTTTGCTATGTCTTCCACAGTCTCACTATTGGCTGAAATGATGCCCACACTTCTGGCAATAGCTTTGGCTGTGATGGGATGATCACCTGTCACCATGATAACCTGAAGTGGGTGAGAAACAGATATAACCAATGAGAAACAGGCCCAATAAAAGCAGAAGGAAAAGTGAGCATGACTGCTCTTGTCTGAATCAAGAGCTAGTAGGGTATAATTAGTGCTAATGATAGATTTTTCTCTTTGGGGGACCTTTAGTTGTGATGTGTGTCTTTCGTCCCCCAGAAAAAGCCCAGCCCCAGTACATTTCCCATATATCTGCCTGCTCTGGTGTTTGTTGGCTCTTTCCTCCTTCATAAGAGGAAACCTTTATCTCTGGTGCAATTCTTATTTGCTCTTCTAGGAAAAAAAAATGGGACAGTCTCTGTTTTTTAAAACCATGTATGAATGTGGAATTAAATATTCCAAAGGATCACAAAGAAATAGAATTAAGAAAATGCTAAAAGCTATTACTATCTTGGATTTATATAGTACATTACAGCTTAAAAGGCTGTTTTGTGTCTATTGATTTCACCATATTAATCACAATAGCTTATAATTGTATGACACTTCAAGGTTTGTAAAATAGTTAATCTTCTTTCTAGATGAGGAAACAGAATTTCAGGGAGGTTAAGTGATTTGACCAAAATCAGAGAGCTAATAAATGGATTTGGGAATAGAGTCTTACACCAATCTGCCAAAAGCAACCATTGACTTAAAAAAATAGTCTTTCCTTTGTCTTTTCATTGCTTGTCATGGTTCATGGGGAAAATACAATGGGATTCAATAAGATATTCTATGTAAAGCACTTTGTAAACCACAGAAGTGGTTTCACATGTAAGCTATTGTTATTATTCAATCATTACTGTGGCTGTCTCCATTCAGGTAGAGTAGGGTATCAAGGTGTTAGCTAAACAATAATTGTAGTGAGAAGAAACTTCTCTACAGAATTCTTTGTGGTATCTTGAAAGGGACCAATCACTTAAAATTTGACATAGTGAACTTGGAAAGAATAGGGATCAGGGTTGGACCTAAAATTTCTTCAATGTGGAAATGCCCTTTATCATTGCAGATTGGTGCCTCTTCTCTGCAATTTATAGTCTTAAGAGAGTTGCCTACAGGACTGAGAGGTTATTAGTGTCATGTCCAGGGTCACTTAGCCAGTATATATCAATGTAGGACCTGAGTCTGTTGTATCTGAGGAGGGACTGGAACCCAGGTCTTTCTGACTTTAAGGCCAGCTCTCTCTTTATTTTGTCATGATGCCTCTCAAATGTAAAAGGGAAAAGAAAAGTACATGGGATTGGTAGAGAAGACTTCAATGTAAAATGAAACTTTCTCAAAGGATCTTTTGAGCCAGTGAAGGACTCCAAGAGGTAGAGAAAAGGAACCCTACCTTGATGCCAGCACTGCGGCACTTGGTGACTGCATCAGGGACGGTGGATCGAGGGGGATCAATCAATGATAGCAGCCCCACAAAACAGAGGTCAGAGGTGGGAAAGTTCATGGTCTCTACATCAAAGGGATAGGTATCTGGAAACTCATCTTCTGGCAGGTAGAGATGACAGAAACCTGGAATTGATACACATGGGGAACAAAACAGGGAAAGGCATCAATAAGTAATGGGAAGAAGATAAAAAATAAGAGACCATGCTTCCATACCACGCATGCACATTAAGGCAACAAAGTTCTTTTTCTTGAATGGAAACTTGAGTCCCTTCCCTGCACCTTCCTTTTTTTTTTTTTAGCTAGGCAATGGGGTTAAGTGACTTGCCCAGGATCACACAGTTAGTAAGTGTCAAGTGTCTAAGGCTGGGTTTGAACTCAGGTCCTTCTGACTTCAAGGCCAGAGCTCTATCCACTGTGCCACCTAGCTGCCCCCCTGTACCTTCCTTAAAAAAGATGCAGTAGATATATGTGGGAAAGGAATCTTATTAGGGACAGGATAGAATCCTCTGATTATCACAAGGAGTATCTATCTAGTTCTAGGATATTGTAAAAAGACATTCCTGAATCAGATTGAAAATTAGGTCAAAGAATCACAGGTATTTAAGCTGAAAGAGACCTTACATGCCAACTAGTCTAACCTTAATTTTACACATAAGGAAACTGAGACCTGGACTTGAAAATTCAGGTAGGAAAGCTTCTAAAAGCCATCCTCGTTGAATTAAACAGATATATGTTTAAAAATCTCACCATTTCCCAGTAGCTACCATGCTTTTGAGCTTCTTAAGAACTCTCCAGCATATCATCCTTCCCTAGTCTCATCATTGGGAAATCTTGTTTTGCTGCAAGATTAAATCTGCCTGGTATGTCTTATCAATACTCTCAGCTTTTCTGATTGGACCCTATGATTGGAGGGTAGGACCATGGGCTCCAGGGCCTTTATTTAAAGAGGGGATTCAGCAGAGTTTTTCTTCCCATTTCCCACCTTTTGGGACCTTTTTAGAACTTTCCATTATGCCCTGAGTGCCCCCCTCCCTTTGCCTCTATCTTTTGTGTTGTCTTCTCTACTAGCTTTTAGATTTTAAGCTCCTTGAGGTCAGAAACTATCTTTGTTTTTATTTGTATTTGTATCCCTAGTGCTAAGCACTGTGCCTAGCATTTAGTAGGTGCTAGATAATGTTTATTGACCGACTAAAGGAGATTACACAGTGATAAAATTTTGTCAGGCAGAAAAATCAAAAGTTTCTGTGTTAGGAACCCCCCACATGAATAAAATGTGTTCCCAACCATTAAAAAAATTTAAAAAAAAGCATAGAGCATTCAGTCAAGAAACCATGAGTTCATTAATAGTTTCTGCATTAAGGAATAGTGGATCATTAATAAAATCAAGGATCTTTGAAGTGTTTTTAAGAATGTGTTTAAGCACCAACCATATGCTTTTTTTCTTCCCCCATTCTCACTCCTCACAAACTCCAATGTCCTTTAGAAGTACAAACTTCATCAATGCAGATTCATTTACTTCACTTGATATCACCTTCCACTGTTTTTGATAAACTTGCTGTCTATTTTCTCAGCTTCAATCCTTTATGTAGCAGTAACTAGTGGCCTCTTCTCCATCACCTTCCCAGGCCAACTCACCCAGCACTCTCTCCCCTAAGCCCCCCAGCTCCATGTATGCCGTCTGGAAGGCCGCTGCTGTGCTTTCATCAAGAGGTTGCTCCTGGCCGTGGATCATGATGGTACTGCATTTCTCCAGGATCCTCTCGGGGGCTCCTTTCATCACCAAGAGGAAGCGCTTGTCATCGGGGTCTTCTGTCTCATGAATGGACAGCTGGGAGGAAGGAATGAAGTGAATGTGTTAAATGGGGTATGTCACTATTACTGTTATAATTGTTGGTGAGGCAATTGGAGTTAAGTGACTTGCCCAGGGTCACAATAGCTAGTAAGTATCATGTGTCTGAGCTCAGATTTGAACCCAGGTCCTCCTGACTCCAGGGCCAGTGCTCTAACCATGGTACCACCTAGCTGCCCCTTATTACTGTTACTTCTAAGAGGCCTGAAGAGCTCCTCTACAACCAGCCACATGCCAGGAGAAGGAAAGTCATCTCTTGCTCTTTGTACACTTGACTTCCTCAAAGTGGAAATAAGAGGCATATTGATGCCCTTGGTGTGTATTGACACCTCCTCCATTGACTGGATCAAGGAGTTAGAGCTGGGAGGGACCTTAGAGACCTTATGTTCCAGGCTCCTCATTTTACAGATGAAAGATTTAAAGTCCAATGAGGTTAAATGAATAGGCCAAATGGAAAAGGAGATACAAAAATTCCCTAAAGAAAATCTTTAAAAATTAGAATTGGGCAAGTAGAAGCTAATGACTCCATGAAACATCAAGAAACAATTAAGTCAAAAGAATGAAAAAAATAGAAGAAAATGTGAAATATCTCATTAGAAAAATGACTGATCAGTGGATGATGGAGGGGTGGAAGAGAGGGAGGGAATTTGGAACTCAAAATTTTAAAAAAGGATATTTACAATAAATTAAAAAATTTAAATATGAAGTGAGGTCCTTTTAGGTGGTAGCACAAATCCCACTGAATTTCATGCCCAGCGATGGATTATCTACTACAGTTTTCAGAGCAGCAGTAGATATCTACTTTTGTGATTCCTTCCTTCTATTCGAGGTTTCAGGCTGTTTTTATAGACATTGGGCATTATGTCCATAGTCCCAATATTAGGGCTGGACATTGTTTCTATGCGGCATAGAGAACTGAGACCAGCAAAGATTCCCTCTGCTTCTTTCTATCCATGAAATGAACTACACGCTGATAGACTTGCACTGGTCTCATTATATTCCATCAGGGTCTCCTAAACATTAACCAAAACAGGAGGGAAGTACAGAGTCCTGTCAAGAGAGGTAACACTGAATAAAGCAAAAGAACTTCTAGGAACCCAGAGACTTAAATTCCATTAGTTTTTAGTCTAGTTAAACTCACCTGGGGCTTTCTTTTCAGCCCACTATCAATGAAGAAAATCTTACATATATGTTATTCTGTCTGACCAGCGCCTGGGAGAATAGTACCACCAAGGTAAACATCAACCTAAACTCATTTAATTAAGTATATTTTTAGGAGGTTGGAAAGAAAGTGTATGTTTGTATGAGGGGAGGGTTGGGAAGGGGGAAGGAATTTTTACTTTACTGCTCAATTCCACTTTGTTCCAGACTGAGCAAGAGAGCCACAGCGGAATTTCTAACATGAACTAGGCTTTTCTCACACTACCAGCAGCCCTAACACTGTGGGCTCTGAAGAGTGATTTTCATTCCCATTCCAACTTGAAAGCGATAGAGGTAGTCAGCCTTTGGACACTCCTGAAGTAAAAGCACTAATTGTTATTAGGCTGATTTCCTAAGATATTGGCAAAAAAGACCCCATAGCTCCCTAGAAGCTCAACTGCATGGAATGGGATGAAATCTAGAGCCATCCTGGTTTGTCCCCAGATTATCCACATACTATCAGAAAAGGTGTTTATTTGTCTCTACCTAATGTGGAGTCTTAACTGCTTCACTGTTTTTTGAGATTTTTTTTAAAAAAGTATTTTATTTTTAATGTATGGAATAAAACAAGCATTTCCATAATACAGAATAGTTAAAAATTTATACATGAAACTACAAATCTGTTATGTACAATTTGCTATTCCTTTTAAATATATAATAAAGTTAACTTGTAAATTTCTTTTTTTTCTTTTCTTCCTTCGCTCCTCCCTCCCCCACCCTAGAGATGGCTACCATTAGACATAAATATGTATATGTATATGCATATATATATGTAAAATCATTCTATATATGCTTCTATTTATCAGTTTTTTCTCTGGATGCAGATAGTGTCTTCTTCCATATGTCCTTTGTAATTAATTTGAGTATTTATAATAGTCAAAATGACATTCACTTAAAGTTGTTTCTAAAACAATATTGCAACAAAAACTTAGACCCCCAATCCCTCAGCACCAGAAACTAAGACAGTATTCATGGATGGATGTTTGCAGGATGACCCACACCCTAGTCTCTCTAGACTCATCTTTCTTTATGTACTATGTTTCTGGGAAAACAATAGCCAAAGTGGCCTTGATCAGAGATTACCAGTCCATATTCCTCAGGCTCTAGACCCGTGAGGGCATTTAGTAATTGTAGATAAAAACACCACTGGGCTCAGAAACAAGATCCCCAGTCATGAGGAAAAACTCACCTGGAATTTGTTGGTGGAATTAAAAGGGATTTCAGCCACTTTTCTGTTTCTTTTTCTTCTTTCCATTACATCACCCATTATGACTTCTGAGAACTTTAGGAGGGCAGTTTCTGAAGCATCTCCCACCACAATTTTCTAGATTTAAAGAAAAGGTTAAAACAAATAAGTCATAACCACATTCTGGCTCTTCCACGACGTTTAAAATTAACCTGTGTATTTACTGCCTGCCTGCCATATGCTTAAGTATTGGAGGTAATAGGGGAGAGGGGAGAAGAAGACGACACTCAAAGTCTCTAATCTTACTGAAGATATAAGAAAAATAAATGAGACCAGATAACATGATTAAGCATTGAATTGTGTTTTCTAGACCATAAGTTTAGAGAAAGGAGAGATCAAAAAGGGCTGGAGTAGTTGAGGTAGGAAAGGTTTTCTTTCATGGCTAATTTAAGCTAGGCCTAGAAATGCCAGAAAGGAGAAATGAAGTAGAAAAAAAGGGAAAAAAGTGAGTTATGAAGAAAGAAACAAGGTTCACACATTGCCATTCAAGACAGTACTGAAGTAGACTTGATTAAAGCTGTAAAATAGTGGAGAAATAAGTTTGGATAGGGCAAGGTGGGGCCGTGTTACAGAGGGGTTTGAAAACCAGGCAGAATTTAGATAACATAATAGACTAAGGAGCCATTGAAGAATGAACAGAAGGAAGAGCAGGATAAAAATATTGTTTAAGGAGTATAAGTCTGGCAGCGGGATGTATGAAGGATTAGGATAGCATGAAACTACAATCCAGAAGCCCAGTTAGGTGATTGCTATAACAATCTGGGTAAAAGGTGATGAGGGCAGAACCCAAGCAGTCAGAGGCGAGTGACATTTTACAGGGAAAAAAAGGTATTTACAGTCACCTTGTGGATATAGGAAATGAAGGAGAGAGCCAAAGGTGACTCCAAAATTAGGGCTTGGGTGACAGAAAGAAGGTGGTGTTGAAAGACACAAAGCAAATTTAGATAGGGACACTTGTCTTCTGCCTCTGTATCTCTGCATCTGTTCTGTATCTTTGGGCAAGTTTTAACCTTTCTGAGCCTAAATTTCCTTTCAAAATATAAGTGGATTGAACTAAGTGATCTCTGTCTTTAAAGTTGAGAAATGGAGATACAAATTCACCATGGAAGAAAACTTTCCCCACCTCAACCACTCCAGTTCTTGTGGATGTCCCCTTAAACTTACTGTCTAGAAAACACAATTCAATGCTTAATCATATTATCTTATCTAATTCATTTTTCTTGTATCTTCATTGAGAAGTGGAAGAACTTAATCTTGGTTTTTAGATGTGTTGCTGTCAGGGTAGGTGAGAGTGGGTTGGCAATATCTATTGATTATTTGGAGGATAGATATGGGACTGAAGCTTGGGTCAGATAAGACTGGACATTAAGATTGAGGTAATCAGAAAGGCCTGGGGACTAAGCTTTGGAAAAATACCCATAGCGAGATGCGGAAGGGAAATGCACAATAAAAGGCAACAGAACAGAGTGAAAGAGGAAGTAAGAGGAAAAACTAGGGCAGTTTCAACATAGCAACTCTGGCAAGAAGGAAAGAGAGAATGAAGTACACTCGAGCATGCCAGTGTTCACAGCTGGATACCCTAGATGAGAAGAATAGCTCTAGATTTAATTTGATTGATACCATCAAAAACAAAAAAAAACAAAAAACTAGACTGTGATTCTATTGAAGTAAGCAATTCTATCTACTAATGAAGATAAGCATCTGTCATGGTGGTTGTCCTTCACATTCAAAGAGGATCAAAATGACATCAGTATATCAGGGTCAATGTACCCACAGTATGTCTGACTGTGACTGACCAAACCAATATAAACTTAGAAGGCTCTAACACAAGTTGGGCACAAATAGTCCATATGAACGTTTGGAGTGGTGATGTCTCTAAATTTGCACATCTCACCTTTCTTTTGAGCTACTGCAATTCTGCTTGCTCATAGAACACAGCACCTTCTCTGATGTGGGCACACTATCCTGGGCGGTCCTGTGCTAATGTCTCCCATGTCTCCCAATCAATCCCAAAGTTCTTAAGAGAAACCTTGAGAGTGTCCTTGTATCGCTTATTCTGACCATTATTTGAGCGCTTGCTCTGTGAGAGTTTTCCGTAAAATAGTCTTTTAGGCAAACCTGCTATACAACCACAGTCTTAGAGAATTACCTGGGACATTCCATTCAGTTTAGGCTCTCAGACAATTCTGAATGATACAATAAAGAAACATTTTCCTTATCACACCAACTTAGATAAACAGAAGTCAAGGAAATAAAATATGTTACATGAGGCCATATTCATTTGTGACTATCATTCTTCTGCTCAAGAAGCTTCATTGGCTCCCTATTCTATTCTAGTACACAATATAAACTCTTCTATTTAGCATTTAAAGCCCTTCATAACCTGGCTTTCTATCCTACCTTTCCTTTCTAGCTGATTTTACATAATTACTCTTAGCAGTCATTGTGACCAAAGCGGACTGTTTACTGCTCCCCTTAAACAGCATTCTATCTCTCATGTTCTTGCTTTTGACAGGCTGTCTCTCAGGGCTGAGACCCACACTCTCTTCAATTCTGCCTCTTATTATTATTATCTGCCTTTTATTTCCTGTGACTTTCAGCCCTAGGACCCTCATTAGAAGGTACATTTTTTTATTCCCCCAGTTGCTAGTGCTTCCCACTTAATTTTTTTTATTTTTATTTTTGCACATGTAATTTTCCCCCAGTAGAAAGTAAGCTCTTGTTCCCTTAGTGCTTATTGGAGCAAGTACTTAAGAAGTGCTGAATTCAATGGTTTAGATGAGTTTGGTCTTGGAGGAACAAATAGGATTAATTTATATAGTTTCAACATTGGAGAGCAAGATCATAAGTCTTCCTTTAACAAAATATTGATCCAGTACTCTGGGTCCTACTCAGTAAGAGCCAAAATGAATCATAGCCTTTTTCAATTGTTTTAGTCATGTCCAACTCTTCATGACCCCGTGGACATCTGTCCATGGGGTTTTCTTAGCAAAGATGCTGACTGGAGTGGTTTGCCATTTCCTTCTTCAGTGGTAAACCAGTTAAGTAATTTGCCCAAAGTCACATAGCTAGGAAATTTCTGAGGCTGGATTTGAACACAGGTCTTCTTGACTCCAAGCCCAGGGTTCTATGCAGTGCACCACCTAGCTGCCTTGTTCAAACTACTATGACACAAATCTCAAAGTCAGTATTTTGAGAGCTCTTTTGGTTTTTCATATGACTCTACAAAGCAAAGTAGAAAGTAGCCAAAGTACTACTTTGTTACTTGACTAGATAACATGTTGGCAATTCAAACTTGCCCTTATATATACTAACTTCTTCTCATCTCATTAAGTAGCACAACAGCTGAAGGGGACAGAAGACATCAAGATGACCTGGAGATTGGCTTTGATGTCACACCCAAATGAGCAGAAGACCTACCTTCATGATGGGGACACTTTCCTGTCCTGGTCTGAACTCAGCTCGGTTGCACAGTGTTACAATCTTGGATAAGGAGGCCCAGGTTGCAGAACTTTGGTCAAAGATCTGGGCTAGAAAGCAAGAGAAAGAATGATGTAGCACATGGAAGACTGCTGTGGGAGAGGAGAGTGAGTTTGTATATCCACAGGGTCCGAACAGATCTCAGAAACAGCCTGCTCCCCCTATCAGGGTTGGCATTAACTTCCCTGCTCAGTTACACATCCCTGAGATTGCTTCCAAAGCCTCACCATTCTGATCTTCACTTGTATCAGCCTGATAGATCTGGTTATCAAACCACAGATGGGCCACAGTCATTCTGTTTTGTGTTAAGGTCCCAGTCTTGTCAGAGCAGATGATGGAGGTGGAGCCCAGAGTTTCCACTGCTTCCAGGTTCTTCACTAGGCAGTTCTTCTTGGCCATCCGTTTTGCTGTCAATGACAGACTTACCTAGAAAAGAAAGAAGGAAAGAAATATGAATGCTACTGAGTCAGAGTAATAGAAGACTTTTGCTTAACCATTACTGTAGAGACCACACTTTGACCCATCTTTGACGACTAACCATGCTCAATTTTTGTGGCTAGATGAATTTTTGGGAAAATAAATAGTCATGGTTGTTATGTAGAAAATTTTGGTAGGCTATTGGTCGAATCATGCCAAGAGAGTTTTTTTTTAATTTTAATTTTAATTTTTTTTGAGAGTTTTTTTTTTTTGGTGAAGCAATTAGGGTTAAGTGACTTGCCCAGAGTCACACAACTAGTAAGTGTTATGTGTCTGAGGCTGGATTTGAACACAGGTCCTCCTGACTCCAGGGCCAGTGCTCTCTCCACTGTGCCACCTAGTTGCCCCAAGAGTTTTTTTTAAAGGTAAACAAAAGCCCAACTTTGGTTCTTTCCTCCTTTGAATAAAGGGATCCCAAGTGATTTAGTTTTTAAGGCAAAGTCATCAAGTTTATACCATATGGATGCAAACCATTTGATCGTAGGTCAATTTCAGCAACTATGCACCTCTCCAAAAAGACTGTAAGAAAACTGCTGGACTGACTTGTGTCAAAGTGGGCATCCTAAAGCACTCATCTCATACTTTGGGTCTTCAAGGAACTATTATGCACTATATTAAAACATGACATCTCAAAATCTTTTGGTTTCTGTTGAACTCAGAAATCTCAAAGACACTCTAGTGTCCACTATCTTAAACCTCAGTTTACAAGTTGAGTTCATGTAAGAGACTATTATAGAGACTGATTTATAGTTTCTTTGCATTTTTTGTCTTGTTTCTAGGGGAAAGTACAGCAGAAGAATGAATACATAAGCTTACTTTAATAGCTCTCCTAAAAAGGAAGACTAATACCTTATAATCTTGCATATCCAATGTTGAAACTATCCTGATCAATCCTATTTGATCCTCCAAGACCCAATCTATGTAAAACATTCATTATTGTCCCTCATGGGGAACCAATTTCACTTTAAAACATAGAGATAACTTGTAACATACAGATCCATGATATACAGAGCAAAGGGGTCAAATCAGAATGCATAGATCACATCATGGACTTACAGTCACAGCAGCCAGAAGACCCTCTGGCACATTGGCCACAATGATACCAATGAGGAAGATGACGGATTCTAGGACTGGGTATTTCATAGATACTGCAATGATGAAGAAGATGACACCGATAGAAACAGCCACCCCTGCCACAATATGGACAAAGTGCTCAATTTCAATAGCAATGGGTGTCTTCTCATTCCCAACACCAGAAGCCAGTGAGGCAATTCTTCCAATGATAGTCCGGTCCCCTGTGTTAATGACCATGCCAGTTGCTGTTCCTGCAAAGAAAGTATGTGGATGATGTTCCAGGAGGCCTTGCCTATAAGGGGCACAGGCTGCTTGAGCTTTTGTCTTCATACTCTGGCCTGACATAACCTGCCAAGCAGGCATTGTCCTGATCTGAAGAACTACATAATATTAGATCAAGTGTTGGCTTATTGGGTACAACTATGTTTTTGGTTTTTTTTTTTATTCCCTTTGGAAAAATTTTTGTATGAAGTAGTGTAAAGAAGACCAAAAAGTAGAGACTGACCAGAGGGACTCTTAATTTTTGTGGAATGTTTGCTACATATATCACACCAGACCTACCTTCCAGGCAGGTTGTAGAGTAAAAGCCAATGTTCTTCGTCTCCAAGGGATTCTCGTGGGTAAAATCACAAGATCGAGATTGAGGCTCTGATTCTCCAGTAAGAGATGAATTATCTACCTGTGAATGAATTCAATTCAATTTAAGAAACATTTATTAAGCAACTACTATGTGGAAGGCACAGTGGGAGGTACTGAGGTTATAAAGACAAAAATTACAGTGTCAACCCTCAAAGAACTTCCTTTATAATGAGGGGTAAAAGAAACAACATGCACACAGTTAAATAGATATGAAACATATACTAAATAATCTAAAGTAATTTCATGAAAATAAATCTGAGAAAAGTCCAGAGTTAGATACTTTGGCTCTCTTCCCCATTTGATGTAGCCAGGGAAGAGTATTCAGTGAGGCTGTAGGTTATAGTAACTGGGACTAGATCCAGCCATCCTTAGAGGGTACCACATTGGTGCTTACCTTACATCCATGTGAGGCCAGGATCCTGATATCAGCAGGAATCTGGTCTCCACCTTTAATCTCTACAATATCTCCTACAACCAACTGCTCTGCAGGGATCTCCCTCTTTTCTCCATCTCTGATGACCAGGGCTTGCTGGGAAATGATAATGTAAAAGAAACTTCAGAACCTGACATGACGTTTTCTTCATCTACATCCTTTGGTCTGGATGCTCATGATCAGGGGGAATGGCAGCTATAAATTGTAGGTAAAAGTAAAAGCTAGCATTTAAATAGTGCTTTAACATTTGCAAAATTCTTCATGCTATCTCATTTGATTCTCACAACAACCCTGAGAAGTAGGTGCTATTATTGTCCCTATCTTCCAGATAAAAAAACTGAGGTCAAGATAGGTTAAGTGATATATCTGAGACACAAAACCAGTGTTTGAGGCAAAATTTCAACTTGGGTTCTCCTGGCTTCAAGTCCAACATTCTATCCATTATGTTACCTCTCTGTAAGTAGGGCAATGTATGTTTCTCTTAAGCCCTGAAGCCTCTAAGTGAAATAGTACACAGGGGAACCAGAAGACATTCATAGAAGAAGATTTGGGGTGGGTTGCAGGCTTGACAAAGAGAGAGACCTGTTGGAATTGTAGCTAGCTACAGTTTAGGAAGAATCTTAGCTTGAACAGTGAAGACATAAGCCAAAATCCAGGATCTTAGATTTAGAGCTATAAGGAATCTCAAGTCGAATGCCCTCGTTATACAGCTGAGACCAGAGGCTCAGAGAAGTGACTGGCCTAAGATCATGCAGCTAGGAATTATCTGAGATAAGATCTCAAGCCAAGTCTTCCTGACTCCAAGTCCAGTACCCTATCCCTGATGACATGCCATCTTTATGTGATAGAAGTTGTAATTGTACCTGTGATGAGCTGTATTCTTCCCTTCTTTATGCAAAGAAGGGAGCCCACTCCCTTTCCCTCCCCCAATTAAGGTTGGCATTCCTTTGGCCATTGTGGAGGGAAATGGTCAGTTTCAAACATAACACAGAAAACCTGTCATAGGAAGACTATTCAATATGCAGTAGGAAGGACATCGGGTTAAGCCATTCTGCTGTCTTTTTGGTGGCAATGTGAATGGATATGGGAAATGAGTTGAGGAACGAAAAGGGGCAGAAAAGTCAGGCTCATCAACCCAGATAGATATGGTGACTCTCTGTTCTAGTAAATAGCTCATTAAAGGTTACTGTCTGAACCTCTCAGGTGGCACTTTATGAATGAATAACAAAAATCAGGCAGAACCATATGAGAAGATTTAGAAGTAGCAACAAGAGGTGTTTGCTATGACACAGGTCAAGGGAATTTTGAGCGACTTACCCGAGGAATCATTTTACTGAAGCTGGCAATGATATTGGTGCTTTTTGCCTCTTGGTAATAAGCAAAAATCCCAGTGAAGATGACCACCAAGGCAAGCACAACACCTAAAAAGACCTGTATGAAAGGGAAAGGAGACCTAAGTCAGAGAAGCAAATGCTTAAAATAAAGCATATACCTTTTAGGGTGAGAATCTCTACCTGCAAGCAAGTTAGATGCCCAAGTATTTGTTCTATAGGTCAATGTGGAATCATTTCATACATTTTGGTTGCCAGGCACAATGAATTTCCTAAAGGCTTTCCTAAATGCTTTATTTACTAAACTAAGAAGAGAAAAAATAGGCTTTGAGAAGCAGGAGGTTAGAGCCCCAAGTATGCTGATTATTGATATAGAACTTTTATAACTTAGGAACTCACAATCCTTTCCTGTTTTATTTCTATGGTATAGGAATGGCAGCAATCAGTAAATACCTACCTCCTCTCTTCTAGATGTAGAAATTGCAGCCTGGAAAGGTCCAGCATTCTTGACCCCACTCAAGAATGATTCCATGGTAGTAATAGGATTGAATTATTTTTTTCCCTCATGCTCAGTCCAGGACTGGTTATGAGAGCCCTTAGCCTCTGGTATCCCTCTTATGACAGAGAAACCAATGACAAAATCATTGTAAGAAGCCTGGTAGGTACTTACATTGTCCAAGGAAGCAGACTTGTCCTTTGAAAACTGAATCCCATAAGCAATCCAACAGAGGACAGCTCCTGCCCACAGGAGGATGGAGAATCCACCCACCATTTGTTTGAGGAATTTTATTATTTCAGAAGTTTCTTTGGGTGGAGAAAGAGCATTAGGACCATCTTGAGCCAAGATCTCTGCTGCTTTTGTGCTAGTGAGACCCTTCAAGGACAGAACCAAGAAAAAATAGTTGTTAAAGAATGACTGGACATTCCTAGCCATGCAGATGTTGGGGTGGGGGAAAAGGGTGGTTGGAAGGGATCTTTGTTTGTGGAGTGAATATCCTGGCTTTATAAAGCTCCAAGCAATCCTTCAACTTTCACCTTTGGGTTGTTGTTGTTGTTTTCAGAACAAGGGAAAGACTAATTCAAATTCCCTAAATTCAAATTCAAATTCCCTATCCAGTATGTTTATATACAAAGAGAGAAATATCTTTTCTTGGGCACAGAATGAGGATTTACAGAGAAGAAGTAAAAACAAGGTGATGGTAGCTCTGGAGACAGGGAACCTTGGTTCCTATCTTGCCTCTGACACTATTTGTGTGACCTTGGACAAGTTATAATCTCCATGGTCCTCAGTTTTTTCTTCTGTAAAATTAGTGGGTTGGATTAGAAGGTCTCTGAGATTCTTCTTAACTATAGATCATTGATCTTTCAATGCTAACTAGGATTAAAATCAAAACAGTTCTTACCCAGAAAAAAAATCTTCAACTGAAACTTCTCTAGTAGACATTATATCCAGCCCTTTTCTCTAAATCTCCCCAACATAGCATGTCATCCATCAACTATGAAATTTTCTCCATCCTTCAATGGCTCACATTTTATCTTCTCCATGAAACATTGCTCTGTTATTCTAGTATTCTATGACTTCTAAGAAATACATTCCTGTCATGACCAATCTAAACAATTTTGGTTGTACCGTTCTTACACTTAATATATATTGCCTCGTGTTATGTTTATTTGTGTACATGGTACCCATTTTCTCTTCCTTGCTACAATGAATTACTAACAATAAAAATTGTTTCCCACCTTTCCCCAATCCCTGACAGAAGGCAAATCCCTGATGTTGATCATTCATCCACTCAGTCACTTACTTGGATGATGTTTGTTCCATACTTGTCTTCTAATTCCTTAGTGCTGAGTTTGTGGTCATCCTGACATTCGAGAGAAAAAAGAGAGAACCAAGTAAAGGAGATGCCATTTGAATTAAGTGGCTGTATTTCTGAAAAGCTGTTGGAAGATGGGGGCAGAACTGGATTCAGGTTATAGAATCCCAGAGTTAACAAGGGTCTTGGAAGACATCTGCATTAATCTTCTACCTTAATACATGCATTTTGTTTACAACATCCCTAGCAAGTGGCAGTCCAGCTTCTGCTTAAGTTCTTCTAGAGCCAGGCAGCTCATGAGCTCATAACACACCTCCTTCCATTGATGAGCAACACTAATTGATAGAAAGTTCTTCCTTACATTGAAACAAATATGCATATCTTTAACTTCCACTTTTTACAACTATCCTATCTCTCATTAAGCCTCTTCTCCAGGCTAAATGTTTCCTAGTTTCCCAGGATATACATCTTAGGACTCACAGATAGCTGGATAGCTGTGTTCATGACACTGTGAATTGCCCTGAGATAAAGCTACTAGCTGTTGAGCAAAGAACTGATGCTCATCTTCTCACACAGTCTATCCCTTGGTTTCATCAGCCTATTTCTGTTAGGATTTTTGCCTTCCTTCTATCCCAGAATGGTATGTACTATCTGGCATAAATGTTCCTCCTGTATGAAATTCACCAGCAATAATGCTTATAATCACTTATTCTACCACCTCATTTCTAGGCTAAGGGAACATAACCATCCTCTTAATTCAAACAAATTCCAAGGTTCCCTATGAATGCCAATCCTCATGAAAATTCAAGCTAAATGTGAGGTTAAATGATCAAATGTCCTGCAGGTCTGAGATCTTATTCTTCAGATCCTAAGTAGCATTACTTCATGTTGGTTAGCATTAGAACTTGTATCAGCAACAGCCCTTGCCTTCAACTTTCAGGGTTTTACTTTGTCCTAGATGGGAAAAGACTCCATTTCCCATGAAAAGAATTAAATGTGAATTCTAGCCTTCCTCTCCCAACTTCAGTTCTGCTTTGTTTAGAACAACTTCTCCTACTGTTGTTTCTTTCCACTGTTTTAAAAGGTGGCTTTGATAATGAACTAATCTATTTTGGTACAAGGTCCTTGACTCTTGCTCCTAGACATTGTGTAATAATAGCACAATGTAAAAGATCTCGACCAGGCAGTAAAGAGACCTTCCCTCTCTCCACCCTCAAGCCCAGTCATGCTTTATGCAGCCAGAGCTCTCAGGGCAGAAGTGAAAAGGTAAAAGGTCCCAGAGTGGTTCATAGGACAAATGGATTGGTTAGAGGGGGAGGAATTCCTCAGAACATCACCTTTCCTATGGGCCTATTGGTGTCAGGAAAGGAAAGAGAATACTTTGACCAAATATGCTAGGAATCCTTGGATCACAAGCCTTTAGGACTGCAAGGGACCTTGGAGATCATTTAGTCCAACTCCTTCATTTTCCAGGTGAGGAAACTGAAGCTCAGACAGCTGAAATAACTGCTTAACATCACACGTAGCTATGACCAGAACTCAGATCTCCAGACTGCCAGTGTCTTACTCTTTCCACTGTATTACTTCAGAGACATTTATCATCTCAGAAAAATATGAAATGCCTAGAGAAAGAAGGTTACTATCAGAAAGAGTCATGATAAAATTTAGAATTATATCTCCATTAAAAGTAATCATTTCATGGAGAAAAAAGGCATTCTTCAACCTTAATTTTAGATGCTTCACATGTATCAGTATAAATTAGTGATTTTAATGTTGAAATAAATAGCCACCCTTGCAAATACAGTAAACCCTTCCACAAAACTTCTGACAGATGGTCTTGAACCTTATTTACTTGATCACTTTCAGTAACAGGGAACTTCCTACTTTGTATGGCAGAACTGTTGAAATGACTGAGCAGTTCCATTGTTAGAAAGGCTTTTTCTGATACTGGGTATATTATATTGTTCAGTCATGTCCTACTCTGTGGACCATACCTTTCCATGGGGTTTTCTTGGCAAAGATACTGGAGTGGTTTGCCATTTCCTTCTCCAGTGGATCCTTTTGTCAGGCAATCAGAGGTTAAGTGACTTGCCCAGAATCACACAGTTAGGAAATGTCTGAGGCTGGATTTGAACTCAGGGTTTCCTGAGGATTCTAGGCCCAGTGTGCTCTATCCATGAGCCACCAGCTGCCTCATGGTATCAGAACTGGGATACACATATATGTGAATACATATATACACACACACAGTGAATATGTACAGATATATAATCTAGAGGCAAAATGACAGGAGAGTGTATAGATAGCTGCCTTTGGAGTCAGGAAGACCTAGATTCATGTCTTGCTTCTCATATATAATGTCTGTGTGATCAGACATTGGGTAAATTACCTAACCCCTCAGTTCCTCAGGCAGCTAACAGTATATGTTGGCAGTAGATATTACCTGCCAAATGTATGTGTATTTCTACAGTGGAAAGTCCCTACTTCGATTTCAGTCCATTTTTCCCCAGCAGGAAAAGACGTAATTCTTCTTCCTCCAACCTTTGGGAATTGTTCCCATTTTAAAGTGTGATAAACAGAAATTTAAGGCTTCTCTATTAGTCTCTTGCACCACTAATGCCACTATAAGGACTTAAAATGATTTTGTTCCATCTCACTTTAAGCAGTCAAGGAGAAGAGAAATCCTAAACTATGTGCCAATGATCTTTCTGATTAAGATTACTAACTCTGAGCTCTACACTTCAGTGCCTTTATGCAGAATACAGGAACCATCTAGTATAGCTGGCCTCCAGGCAAAGATTGTATCAGCCTAATTTTAACATGGAACAAATTTCTTGGGTGCATTTTCTTTTAAAATCTCAGACGCTGTATTTTTCTTCTGCAAGAGGTATCTTAAAGGGGCAGACCTCAGTGGGGCCTTGGCTCCTATAGACAGGATGGTATAATTAATGAAAATAACATTGGGCTATAGAATCTGGAAGATAGAGATTTGAATCCCGATTCTACTAATTACTACTTGTGTAACAGTCTTTGTGCCTCAGTTTCCTCATCTGCAAAATGATATTGTTGGACTAGATGATTGTTCAGGTCAATTCCAGCTCTAAAGCATTTGTGATCCTTTGGCAATATAAATGTGCCATGAAAACAACAGGATGCTCCTTGAGATAACTGACCAGATCAAGTTCTTTCTTTAGTTCTTCTTTCTGGTGCTCCTTCTTATATCCCAAGTGGTTCTTCAGGCCCCTGTACTTTTCTTTGCCATCCCCCTCATCTGTTGTTTCGATGTCTTTTATTCCATTGACCTCAACAGAGTAAACTTCTGATTTTTTCTGAAATGGAAACAAAGATTGTCAGCTGAAAATTGGTCTTTTGAGGAATTGGGTTGAGGTCATCTCAAGTCAGGGAGGTGAGAAAAAAGAGACTGTGTCATAATAGGTCTACAAATATCTCTTCTGGTTCCCCTGTCTTCCATCTCTACAACCTTAAAGAGAGGGAGAGATAAGTGGAGTATGCATGGACAAGGTATCTTCCTTCCATTAATCCCAAAGACAACATCCCTTTTCTTCCCTTCCCTTATGCAAAGGCCTTAGGATTTCTATGCTACTCTTTAGGAAAGGTAAGATACACACAGGCATGCCAGCTAAACACTTCTTGAAAACAGATGATCAAAATGGATGATCTCTTAAAATGGATGTAGGGGCAGGGTGATCCAATCTTAGGGTAGACCAGAAGGGAAAATGTCCCACTCTTCCTTAATTCTAGAGCAAAACTTTTCAATGCAGCAAACATTTATTAAGTACCTACTATGTGCCAGGCACTGTATGAAAGCATTTTACAAATATCTCCTTTGATCAAGAAGTCTCAGATACCTCACATACTTTCCTTTGGCTAAAATAAACATCCCAGATTTGAAGCCAAGACTTCACTTGCCCTCTATCAAACCCAACTGGCTAAGTCCCTTTTCTGAAGAAAGGGGATGTAAGTCCAAATGACATGAGCTGGAGAAGCTGAAACAGAAGGCAGCCCCCCCCCCCCGCCCCCGCCCAGGACCATGATTCCTCATTTTCTTTTAGCTTTCCCCCATCTCCAAGGTCCCTGAGTAGGTTCATTCTTTTTATCTTTCCCGACCACAGCTGATCTGGGCTCAATTCTTCATACTGAATCTGAAATTTTTATAAATTTGTTGTAGATAGTTGGACTGGGGAAACTGATGTGGAGATATGCCACTCCATCTCTGCAGAAAGGAATAAAACCTGAGGACAAAGAGATTCTAATGAACCGATTTCAATCCTTCTATCTATACTGTAGAATTCCCCCAAACCACATTTCTCCCTGCCTTTCCCAAGCCCTGAGGTCTGTCAGGGTGGTGGTCAACTCTCTCCAGGCAAAGGCAGGCACCACAAAGTGGTGCAGACAGCTGTGTGGGTGCCGATTTGCCACATCAGCCTAATGCCCTTCCTCCGCGATCAATTCAAGAATGAGCGGTAAGGGTTTGAGTTGAGGCGTAACGCAACACGCACCTTGCCCATGAGTGCTGATGGCTTGGCTTAGGTCTGAGGCTGGGGTGAGGCGGTGCGGTCCTGGGCTGAGGGAGAGTGGAGAATTTAAGGAATTGAGCCGCAAGCCAAATAACTCAGGAGTCCGGCGATCAGGTCACAGGAGCTCGCAGGTTCGGGTCGGACAGTTACCGAGTCCCAGCGGCAAATCCAATGTTAGCTGCAGGCTTCTCCCTCTGCTGACATCCTGACAGGTTCAGTGTACTACTCCCTGTAGGGCAGTGAGCCCATGCCCTCCTCCTTTTGAATCAACACCTGGGCCCCTCCCACTCTCACCTCTGAGTGCTGGTCTAACCGGGTCTCTGCCTTCTCTGGGGAGGCGGGAGAATAATACTACAAGTATGTGAACCCCTTGGGCTAGGGATGCAGAATCTGGAGCCCAGACACAAGGCCAATTGGGAGCAAGCAGTAGGCGCTCGGGGTCGGAGGCGGAGGGGAGAGGTGGAGGAAGAAAGGAAAGGAGCTTACTTTTAGTCTACTCTTTAATTTTCACCTCCCCACATAAATAATATCAAAACAAACAAGCAAACAAACAACCTCACCATTCTCCAGACTGAATTGAAAACAGTATCAGGAGCATCTGAGAAGGGGAATTGCTGTTGGGGGTGGTGGAGGGGGACGGTCTGTGAGATGCTCAAACTGTTTTATTCACTTGCTAATTCAAGGGCCAACAAGACGTTGATGAAATAGAAACTCTACTTGACATAATTCTGTAATTTACGTTTTAATAAATTCTTTCTCTGCTCCCCAGCCTGTTTCTCCCATGAGGGCAAACCCCTATGTGGCCCACCTAGGTGCAAAGAAAGGTATTGGTGTCTTCACGTGAAATCTAAGATTTGCTTGCTAAAGGAATACACACACATTTATGTGCACACACATTCAACTTAGAGCCATCTGCTTGGAAGATGCTTTCTTTTTAAACGATGTTTATCAAATGAAGAAGTAACTGATATCTGGTGATTGTTGGAAAGAAAATATAGGCTTTACAGCAAGTAACAACTTCAAAGGAAGCCCCCTCCCCTGCTTCTTCTTACAATCCACTGCTCCACTGACTATCACCATCTTCAGAAACCATGGAACAGAGAAGCTGATGTCATTGAACTCCGATTTAGATGTGGTCATCAAAGAAAGTGAAAACCTGAATTATTGATATGCTTTTTTGGGGGAGAGGGGGAGGGAAAGAGAGTACACAGATTTTAAAAACTAATATCATTTATAAACTGACAATGGGAGAATGTGCCCAGTCATTCTCTTTTTCATTAATTTTAGAAAAAGATTTCTGCCTAACTGGACATACAGGTTTCTACCATCAGCTCTTATCCTCCTTTGGGTACCACAGGTCCCTTTGGGTGACATTTACCCTGAACTTTTCCAGGCATTAGAGTTCAGCCACCACTGTGGTGACCACGTGCCATCTTCTGGATGCCTGATTCTCAGGTGTCCCAGAGGGGTGTGTGTGTTGACACGTCCCAGGGAGAACAAATGGTACTTTTCTCCCAGGTTCATTCTTTTGTTGTTACAACTCCTCCTACCTTACCTTCTGCGTATTCTACAGCGTCCTGCAGCACAAGGGAGATGATGAACTCTCTAAATTTCCCCGTGAACACCAGGTGTTTGTGATGCCATAACTCAAGCAACATTGCTGGCACCTGGTGTGGTCTCCACCTTGTAAAACTATGGAATGGATTTCCTCTCGGGAAACTCCTTCCCTGGGGGAAGTCATCCACACAGTTTTGGGCAATGGCTTCTGAACTCCACCTATCTCTAATGAATCTTTTAAGGAATCTTTTTTAGGGAAATCCTTTAGGGAAGTGGAGTTGTGACTGCAGTCTGAAGGAGGGAAGGGGTCAGAGAAGAGAATAGGCATTTATTAAGCACTTACTAAGAGCCAGGCACTATGCTAAGCACTTTACAAATATGACATTTGTCACTATCACTATTTTACCGCTGAAGAAACTGAGATAAAGTATCATATGTCCAGGGTCTCATAGCTAGGAAGTGTCTGAGGCCAAATTTGAGCTCAGGTCTTCCTGAATCCAAGTCCAGCACTCTCTTCACTGTGTCACCTAGTGGAATGAAGGCCTCTTTACCCTAATCTAACTTAGATTCCCTCCAAGTGAGTTTATGTCTTTAAATGGAAACCTGTTAGAGAAAAGGTTTAAGATAGGGATCACTTCGAGTATTGTTCTGGGGTCATAATCAGGTGTAGTCAGATCTTTCATTTTAAAGATAAAGAAACTAAGACCTGGAGGGAGTAAGTGTATTGCTACGGGCATGTATAGATGGACACTGATAGAGCCAGGATTTGAATCCAGGTCCTTGGTGCTGCACTCTTTCCATTGTGCCACAATAATTATATGTGCAATACTTTGCATTGCTCACCAGAATGTGTAAGTTATTCTTGGAAGGTTTTCAGTCAATCAGTCAAGTGTTGTGTTGTACCTTCTTTTTACCCAGGGTTATTCTCAATGCTCTGTGGTTATGGAAGAAATGTCAGGCATAATCATTGTCTTTAAAGAGTTTGCAGGGGCAGCTAGGTGGCACAGTGGTTAGAGCACTGGCCTTGGAGTCTGGAAGACCTGAGTTTAAATCCGGCCTCAGACACATGACACTCACTAGCTGTGTGACTCTGGGCAAGTCACTTAACCCCAATTGCCTCACCAAAAAAAAAAAAAAAAAGAGTTTGCAGTCTAATTGGAGAGACAAGACTGACACACAAAACAATAGGGAGAAATAGAAAATATATAGTAAGAGCCTCTAAATACTCTAAGAACTTAAAAGAGAAATAGATCAGGAAAGGACCAATAAGATTTTAATTAAGATTATAGTTGCTTATTTTTTTCTTTTGCTTCTCCTCAGGTCTTCCATCTCAGAAAGGTGGAGCAGAGAAGAAAGGTATTGAATTTCTGGAAAACAGGAATATTGGATTACTGGATTCCTGGAAACCACATTTTGTAGAACACTTATCTGGAAAAGGGGATTGTTAGTCCCTTACTGAATTGTGCATTGAAAAGGATTCCAAAGTATAAACTAAACTGAGAGAGGTGGTGGCTAGGCTCCAGGGAAGAGAGTAATTGGGCTAAGAATGGAGAGAGCAAGGTTTTACATCCTGTTCCACATCTGAGTCAGTTAATGATTCATCTGTCCTTCATATTCCAACTAGGCACTGACCCACCTTTAATAATTCCTCTCGATACCCATGTCTCACTTACATCCTTAGGTAATGGCTAGATCAGTTGCCACTGAGTGAGGGCTTCCCAGAGCCTGAAGTAAAATTGTGAAAAGATTTTAGCTGAATATGATTTCACACACTGTTACTGAAAGACCTTTGTTGATTAAGATGCCCAAGAATGGCAAATATGTAGGGCCATTTTGCTGGAAGAAGCTCACTAAGGAGAAGTCAGTATCTGTGAAAAGAACCTCTCCTGCTAGTGGTCCTGATGCTGTTGAAAAAGAATAATAGCTAGCATTTTTATAATCTTAAGGTTTATGAAGTACTTTACATATATTACCTTATTTGATCCTCATAAGAAGCCTGTGAAGGAGGTGCTATGTTTAACCCCATTTTACAGATTAGGAAACTAAGGCTGAGAGAAATTAAGTGACTTGACCAGAGTCTCACAGCTAATGACTATCTAATAGGAAGCAAACTCAGGTCTTGTTGACTCAAAGTCCAGTGAGAGATAATAGGATCCCTAAAGTATAGTTTTAATGAAGAAAGATGCTATCTACTTCCAGAGAAAGAACTGATAGAGGTATGTATAAAAGAATCTTACACACACACATGCGCGCGCACACACACACACACACACACCTATTTGTATCTAATGGTAACTATCTCTAGGGTGGGGGTGAGGGAAGTGGAAAAAAAGAAATTTGCGTGATAACTTTGTTGTATATTTAAAAGAAATAGAAAGTTATACATAATAGATTTGCAACTTCATGCTATAATCTTTTTTATTATACTATGTTATGGAAATGCTTCTTTTATTACATAAATTAAAAATAAGATTAAAAACAAGACACTGAAAATTCTTTTCACAGTGGATAGCTAAAGGTTTTCAAAGGGAAAACTAATCTTAGGATAGATAGATAAAGAATTTATTGTGTGGATTAAGTGCTAGGGTGTGAGGATACAAATAAAAAGTAAATGACAACTCTTCCCTCAAGGACCTTACATTCTAATGGAGGATTGCAATAAATAAAGGGATGCTAAAAATGGCAGGAGGTATGGTGTCATGTTGAGGAGGCAGCTGGGAAGGGATGGAAGCTCCCTCTGAGGTTCACTCAATCAGCATCTACCACCCAGAGAAAATTCTGGTAGCTATTATATACCAACCTCCATTTGCAAACTGGATCCCATAAGCAATCCAACAGAGGACAGCTCTTGCCCACAAGAGGATGGAGAATCCATTTCCAGGACAATCCTCTTCTTTCCTCGATGAGTTCAATGTCTTTGGCTCCTCCCTAACTTCTGCCCTCATAATAGGGGACTTCAACATACATAGTGATACTCTGTCAAATACTCTAACCTCATAATTCCTCAACTTATTCATTTCACATGACCAATTTCTCCACTCCACCTCAGTCACATACAAAAACAGTTATGGTTATGGAATGTTCCATGTTCATGAACTCTGAAATTCCCTTATCTGATCATTGCCAGATCATCTGATCTGGCATTTCATCTCCCCCTCTGCCTTGTAACTCTAAACACTGTTCATCTACACTGTGACCTCCAAACACTTGACTCCTTACTTCACTGCCAGGGTATCACCCTGGCACTGCACTAGCTACGCTCTCCTCCTTTTCTCATTTTCACTGTTTGATGAACCTATTCAACTATACTGGTCTCTTGATTCTCTTGCCCTCTTATCATAGCACTGATTGTACCCTACCAAGCCTCAGCCTTGGATTACCTCCAGTATCTTCTGTCTTTGCTCCTACACAATTGCTATGAATGAATGCTGTAGAATGAATGAATACTGTAGAAAATCATGAAACTGTGCTGACTGGGTCCACTACAAATTTATGTTACATAAACTCAACTGAGTCCTCATTGCTATGAGGCATTTTTAACTCACTAATTACCTCACTGTCTCACTTTTCATAGTGGATCTTCCAAACTTTTTCACCCCTCCTTAAGTCTCCCATGGCTCTCCTGCCCTCAACCTTCTCTATTAAGAACCTTGCCTCATATT